TTTTTTTTTTTTTTTTTTTTTTTTTTGGTACCAAGGATTGGACTCGGGACCTTGTATTTGTGAGGCAGTTGGCACTACAGAGCTAAGTCTCTGGCCCCAATTGTTTTCTTTTTGTATAGAAGCTTTTTAATTTGATCTACTCCCATTTGTTGTTTCTTGATATTACTTTCTGTCTCTTGGTGTTCTATTCAGAAAGTCTGCCAGTTTCTGTAGCTTTAAGTGTTACCCCTGTGTTATTGTCCAGCAGTTTCAAACTTTGTTTTTGTATCTAGGTCTTTGATCCATTTTGTGGAAGGGTGAGAGATAGGAATCTAGTTTGAATCTTCTGCAAGTGGCTATCCAGTTTTCTCAGTACCATTTGTTAAAGAGGCTGCCTTTTCACTTATGTATGTTTTTTATCCCTTTGTTAAAAATCAGATGGCTGTAAGTGCATGGGGTTTTTCCTGTGTCTTTTGCTTGATTCCTTTGGTTTATTTGTTAAATCTGCCACTACCATATTGTCTTTGTTACTGTAGCTTTTGAATATAACTTGGAATCTTCAATTACGCGACTCCCAGCTTTACTCTTTCTTGCTCAGGACAGCTATAGCTGTTCTAAGTCTTCTTTTTATTTCATAAATATTTTAGGATTGCTTTTTTTAGTTCTATGATGAATGTTGTTAGTATTTAATAGGTATTGCATTGAATCTGTAGATTACTTTTGGAAATATTGCCATTTTCATGATATTAGTTCTTCCAAAATAAGAGCAAGTGATGCCTTTACATGGAAACAGCATAGTGAGGAGGAACACCTTTGAAGAAAAGCTGCTCACACAGTGGTGGCGAGGAAGCAGGGTATAAAAGGAAAATCCAGGAAGGAAGATCACTTTTCCAGATCATGCTCCCAATGACCCTCATCTTCCAACTAGGTCCCACCTCCTAACAGCAAATCAGCTATGAGCTCAACAGTAAATTAGTTCACTGACTATATCACCCATATGATCCAGCCACCCTTTGGGAAACATCCCAGATCTAAACTGTAACCCTCAGATACTTTCTGTGGCCTGCCATTACTTCTTACCTGGAATGCCATTCTTATTTTTTTTTCCCCCTTTTCTCTTAAGAGAGAAAAAGAAAAAAGAAAAAAAACTGCTGTATTAGAAACAAGTGATCATTTCCCTCATATATATTCCTTTTTTTTTTTTTACCACACCTATCTTGGACAAAGAGGTAGAACATGGATGATGAGAAAACTTTAGTTTGGAGCAAGCACAGAATTTTTCCTCATTTACTGTTAGCACTTGCAGCTTGGTAACAGTGTCTTGTTCTCGTTTTCTAGGAATGTTTACCCTCGCAGAAGTTGCTTCACTTAATGACATTCAGCCAACTTACCGAATCCTGAAACCATGGTGGGATGTGTTTATGGATTACCTGGCTGTTGTTATGTTGATGGTAGCCATCTTTGCAGGAACCATGCAACTTACCAAAGATCAGGTGGTCTGCTTGCCAGTTTTGCCATCTCCTGTAAATTCAAAGGCACACATGCCACCAGGAAACACAGATGTCACCTCCGAAATCCCGAAGATGGCAGCCACTAACCAAGGCCAAGACAGGCGGATAACAAACGACATTTCCTTTGGTACATCTGCTGTGACACCTGACATACCTCTCAGAGCCACATATCCTCACCCAGATTCCACAGTTCCAAGTCAGGAGGCGAGGAAAGAGAAGAAAGATCCAACAGGTCGAAAAACAAACTTGGATTTTCAGCAATATGTGTTTATCAATCAGATGTGTTACCATCTGGCCCTTCCATGGTATTCTAAATACTTTCCATACCTTGCTCTTATCCATACTATTATTCTCATGGTCAGTAGCAACTTTTGGTTCAAATATCCCAAAACATGCTCAAAAGTAGAACATTTTGTTTCAATATTAGGAAAGTGTTTTGAATCTCCTTGGACTACTAAAGCATTGTCTGAGACCGCATGTGAAGACTCAGAGGAAAACAAACAGAGAATAACGGGTGCCCAGACTCTACCAAAGCATGTGTCTACCAGCAGTGATGAGGGGAGCCCCAGCGCCAGTACCCCAATGATCAACAAAACTGGCTTCAAGTTCTCAGCTGAAAAGCCTGTGATAGAAGTCCCCAGCATGACGATCCTGGACAAAAAAGATGGGGAACAGGCAAAAGCCCTTTTTGAGAAAGTCAGGAAGTTCCGTGCTCATGTAGAAGACAGTGACTTGATCTATAAACTCTATGTGGTCCAAACAGTTATCAAAACAGCCAAGTTCATTTTCATTCTCTGCTACACTGCAAACTTTGTCAATGCAATCAGCTTTGAGCATGTCTGCAAGCCCAAAGTTGAGCACCTGACTGGCTATGAGGTATTTGAGTGTACCCACAACATGGCTTACATGTTGAAAAAGCTTCTCATCAGTTATATTTCCATTATTTGTGTTTATGGTTTTATCTGCCTCTACACTCTGTTCTGGTTATTCAGGATACCTCTGAAAGAATATTCTTTTGAAAAAGTCAGAGAAGAGAGCAGTTTCAGTGACATTCCAGATGTCAAAAATGATTTTGCGTTCCTTCTACACATGGTAGACCAGTATGACCAGCTGTATTCCAAGCGTTTTGGTGTGTTCTTGTCAGAAGTCAGTGAAAACAAACTTAGGGAAATTAGTCTGAACCATGAGTGGACATTTGAAAAACTCAGGCAGCATGTGTCACGCAATGCCCAGGACAAACAGGAGTTGCACCTGTTCATGTTGTCAGGAGTGCCTGATGCTGTCTTTGACCTCACAGACTTGGATGTGCTAAAACTTGAACTGATTCCAGAAGCTAAAATTCCTGCTAAGATTTCTCAAATGACTAACCTCCAAGAGCTCCACCTCTGCCACTGCCCTGCAAAAGTTGAACAGACTGCTTTTAGCTTTCTCCGAGATCACTTGAAATGCCTTCATGTGAAGTTCACCGATGTGGCTGAAATTCCTGCCTGGGTGTATTTGCTCAAAAACCTTCGAGAGTTGTACTTGATAGGCAATTTGAACTCAGAAAACAATAAGATGATAGGACTTGAATCTCTCCGAGAGTTGCGGCACCTTAAGATTCTCCATGTGAAAAGCAATCTGACCAAAGTTCCCTCCAACATTACAGATGTGGCTCCACATCTTACAAAGTTAGTCATTCATAATGACGGCACTAAACTCTTGGTACTGAACAGCCTTAAGAAAATGATGAATGTCGCTGAGCTGGAACTCCAGAACTGTGAACTAGAGAGAATCCCCCATGCTATTTTTAGCCTCTCTAATTTACAAGAATTGGATTTAAAGTCGAATAACATACGCACAATTGAGGAGATCATCAGTTTCCAGCATTTAAAACGACTGACTTGTTTAAAATTATGGCATAATAAAATTGTTACCATTCCTCCCTCCATTACCCATGTCAAAAACTTGGAGTCTCTTTATTTCTCCAACAACAAGCTCGAATCTTTACCAGTGGCAGTATTTAGTTTACAGAAACTCAGATGCTTAGATGTAAGCTACAACAACATTTCAATGATTCCAATAGAAATAGGATTGCTTCAGAACCTGCAGCATTTGCATATCACTGGGAACAAAGTGGACATTCTGCCAAAACAATTGTTTAAATGCATGAAGTTAAGGACTTTGAATATGGGGCAAAACTGCATCACCTCCCTCCCAGAAAAAATTGGTCAGCTCTCCCAGCTTACTCAGCTGGAGCTGAAGGGAAACTGCTTGGACCGCTTGCCAGCCCAGCTGGGCCAGTGTCGAATGCTCAAGAAAAGCGGTCTTGTTGTAGAAGATCACCTTTTTGACACCCTGCCACTAGAAATCAAAGAAGCATTGAATCAAGACATAAATGTTCCCTTTGCAAATGGGATTTAAACTGAGATAATATGTGCACATCCCTGTGCAGGAACAACTTCCTAGATTGCATATGCTCACGTACAAGTTATTGCAACATAATGCATTTTAGAAGTAGATATATCTTTTAAAATAAAACACAGCGAGGATGCATAGAAGGCTGATTGATAGAAGACATAACTGAATGTTCATGTTTGTAGTGTTTGAAGTCATTCATTTCCAAATCTTTTTTCTTTCTTTGCCATTTTTTCTTTCTATACATTTTTTTCTCCTGGGGGAAAAAGAAGGAAAATGATAATCACTAATCTTGATTCTTTTTAAATTGTTTGTAACTTGGATGCTGCCGCTACTGAATGTTTACAAATTGCTTGCCTGCTAAACTAAATGATTAAATTGACTTTTTCTTACTATATTACCTTTTTTGAGATGTTGTGATTTATTCTGCTTAACTAGTCCAATATTAACTCAGATCACTAAAGACACATCAAGTCCTCACTCATAAATTTAGATTTGCTGCAAAATTGACTCCTTTGCTGTTTTATTTAAAGCACTTCACATAAGCACATTTGACAAGTGCTGCTGCTTGTCAGATGAGGATAGGATACCATTTTGTACAGTTTTACACTCTGGAAGGTCTTGAATACAGTAAAAATGTGTAGATTGTTCAGTTTCTGTTTTACTTTATAAGGAAAAAATAAAACAATATGTCTCTAAATAGCTTTTCCCCCATGGGCTGGATTTCTGAATATATGGTATACTTTTGTATCAGTACTATAGGATTACCAATAATTGGAAAACATTTTTTAAATAAATTTAATTAGGACCAAACTAATTTTTTAGTGACTTGGTGATTTACAACTTTCCAGTGTCACCATTGAGACACTAACACAAAATCAAGGCAATAATCACTTTAATTTCCTACCCTTTTCATGGTGGTAAAAAAAAAAAGAAAAGGAATAGGACTTGTATAGTTCAGTGAGTTGGAAAACTGTTTTCCTATTCATTTTAGTGACAAGCTGTATTTCCTGTGTTTGTCTATGGCTGGAGAGGTCATGTCCAGGGAAATGCTGGCAGAATATACTTTTTTAGATTATGGTTTTCTCTTACAAACAATGTCTAAATCAGTCTCAGAAAAAATTAAAAAATTCCTTATCCCCAATCTATCTGGCAGATGTTTCATGGGCCTTCTACAGAAGTGTGTTTTCAAGAGAAGAAAGCTGTTTAGTACCCTGAATGACCAAGTAGTATCTTTCTACAACAGTGGACATCCTCTTGTCCTTCCTAAGCACAGTTTGAAGGATTATGCATGGACTATAGAGAGAAGGGCACATTTCCTTGCTTACCTCCCAAAAATTCAATTCTTGGAAGTATTGGCCTGTGGCCAGTGCAAGTGAGTCTTTACCTGCTGAAGAACTTGTAAATACTCTAAGAAGTATTGTCACTGATTAGAAATGCTTCTACCACTGTTAACTGAAGTAAGAACTGACTCTTAACTCTCCCAGCCTGGTATTCCATCCCTCCCTAAAAGGCTTGAGGTTAGAGATTGGCTTTATAAAAGCCCATGTTAGGAAAAGCAGGTCCAGGACAGTGGTGAATTGGGGGCACAAGTAAATCCTCTCCCATTTACATATCTTCCAGTTCTCTGAGCATTTATTAGTGTATTCACTAGTGTGGATTATGCACCTGCTTTGTGCCTAGCCAGTGCAAGAAATGGGATTTTGTGTTGAAGTAAGTCACAGGCCCCTGCTGCAAGAAGCTGTATAGTCAGGTAGAGGATATGCACATAATGGAAATGATTTACAGTTGTAATATAGAAAGTGCACAGAACCTATTTATGTGAATGAGCAGTGGCTGGAGTGGGGTGAACTTAGGTAAAGAGGAGCTTCAGGGAGGTATGTACCAAAAACTGCCTGACAACACTCACTCCTGGTCATTTCCCTCCCATCACCCACATAAGGTGCTGTTCTCCCTGCTGAAAGACACCAACACCTGAAACTGTCATGACACTATTAGAAGGATGCCCCATTGTCTTAATTATGAAATCAACAGTCAAGATCTGACTTTTCTCTTAAATTGCTTTTGTTTCTTACATCACTTCGTTGGATGACTGGTAGAGCATGTGCTTAGTATGCACGAGGCCCTAGGTTCAATCCCCAGCATCAAAAAATAAATATTTTTAAAAAGCATTGCACTGAAGTATGATTGGTATGTAAAAAACCATATATACCAAAAATTTATACATCTTAATGATTTTTCTGTCTCTGAAAACAAGTGCATGTTTTTGAAGGGCAGAAGTGACAAGAGTGTTGTGGCTCACACTGCTTTTCAGAGAAAAAACCATACTACAAAGGCTGGAATCTGCATTACTCTCAAAAGCTTGGCCTCTGGCAGCTCTGTTCCCATAGGCACCTGGTTTTTAATCAGTATTGTGGTTTAGTCTCTTAAAACTGATTAGTGTTAGATGCCTTCAAACAGTATCAAAGGGTAGGTACCTTTTCTCTTCCCAGTTTATTTACTTTATCAGCCCTCTATAATGTCCCAGAATTCTGAAAAGTTTATGGTCAGTTGATTTATATGCCCCATTCAGTGCCACTGTTGGTAAGTAGCAATATTCTAAAAATTCAGTTTTCTGAGAAATTTATTCATGAAATAGTCTTGAAATACCCTGGTTCTTGGGGTCTCTGCACAACAGCTGAGAATATTGCAGGCTCAAGTATTTTGTCAACTTATGTGTCCTCATGTATGTTGGTATCACAAGCACTAGTCCTGCGGGCAAAACAAAATATATTAGTTTGGTAAATAACAGTATTTTCATCTCTTTGTCTAAAGTCCCTTGAACACCCATTTTAAAAACACCTAAATATTCCATGTTTGGATGAGACCCACAAAATCAGAGAACCAGGTTTTATTGTGGCTTTTGACTTTTTTCACTAGAGTTCAGCTGGCTTTGGAGACTGGAAGATTTGGAGCAACGAAACTGATCTTTTCAGGGATTCTGTTCTTAGTAGTGGAGATTTAGCAAATTGTGAATAGGAAGATTTCACTCTGTATAACTTCTGGCCACTAGGTCCTGAAATTTGTCTTGTGTAAGGCGAGGTCTCTCTGTTCTCTACATCAGCCAGTTATCAAACTAAGTTGCTAATAGCAGCAACCAAAGTGCCCTTGAGACCAATGCCTAAGAGTTATTTCCATTCACCTTGCTGAATAAAAGCCAGAGTGCTGTCCTCTTTGCAGAGATTTCTGGCAGTGCTTACGTCAGTAATTCATTCTAATAAAATGGTCCCTTTATTAACTGAATCCCCAAACAAAGACTGCTAACAAAAAGCCCCTTTCATGAAGAAAGGGGATAAAAAGAACAAACCCTTGGAAACAAGTTCCCAAATGTCCTGTAACATTTGACTGTGACACAAAGTAGCTCCATCTGGTCCCGGCCAGCTGTGACTGCTAAGACAAGGGCGCCAGGCATTGAGAAGTAGTTACTGGAGTAAGAGTAAAAGAGTAGTCTAATAGGAACCAGCACATCTCGAGTCTGGCCAAACCAGCAGTGAGGGTCAGACAACTGTATTTGGGAATGAGTTGCTTTGCTCTCAAATCTTAAAACCCAAAAGCGGATGTTCTTCAGTTTGTGTGTGTCTGTGTGCCCCCTGGGGTTCAAACCCATGACCTTATGCCTGCTAAATGAGCTGTCATCACTGAGCTACATCCCAACCCCTTTTACTTTTTGACTCAAAATAAAATATATAATTATCACTGTTCTTATGAAAATTAATAGATTATTTGCTATGAGTTGATCCTGGAAGTTTGTCTCCTAGTCACATTTTTTCACCCCCCCACACACAAAGACTTATGGGATTCCTGTGGTAGAAACTGCTCCATTCCTGTCTGCTGTCATTAGCAGTTGTCCTCCTTTACTCCTAGGATTGATCCCAGGCTCTGGAATGAGAGGCTGGATTTGAACCCTTATCTGCTTAACTTGTCAGTAAGCTACTTCACCTCTCAGGCCTTTATTAATATTACAAAATGGTAGTGACTATGGGTTTTGGTTGTAGGAGGGTTTGCGGGGAGGAGGGGACTCGTGGGGTTTTTTTGTTGTTGTTATTTTATAAAAATTGAATGAGGTGTTAATACTTGACTATAATAGTATTAGCCTTCCCTAACATGTATACCTTCTTTCCTTGGTAGTGGAATGTTCAGTAGGTATCTGAAACACAATAAAATGTATACAAAATAAAACATTTCTGAATTTTGTTTGTGGCTAGACGTGGCCAGTGATTGAATTCTAGCTGAGTGGTAATGAAGTTAAATGTGCTGTTAGTAGATTGGACTCTTACATAGAAGGGCTCCCCACTGCATTCTCCCTATTTCTCCTGCTTAAACCTCAGCTGTGAAAAGGGGTCTAGCTTAGACTGTGCAGACCAGAGATTACATAAAAGGGACATAAACTGTTGTTTAAGGCACTGTTAGGAAGCACTGATACATGGAAGATCTCACTACTCAAAACAGCTTTACTTGGGAGCTTGTTAGAAACAAAAATCTCAGATTCCTCCCCAGACTGATATATTTTAGCAAAATTATATCCATGTGATTTTTTAATGCTGCTTAATGTTTTGAGGATTAGCATATATAGAGAGGAAATTGTGAGTAACTCAATAAATTTTTGCATAGTGAGCAAAAACATGTAACCTCCATCCTGATTAAGAAATAAAACATTACTAAAATTCCAGAAGCAGCCCTTGTACCCCAGCTAGTTATGACATTCTTACCTCAAAGGAGACCATAATTTTTACTTCTAATGCTATAGGTTACTGTAATTTATTTGTAAGTTTTATGTGAAATTATACAGATTGTTATTTTGAGTCTGACTTGCTCAGTGTTATATGTCTGTGAGACCTTACTGTATCCAGGTGATTTTAAGTATATTAAAGTTTGAAAAGTATTGTCTTAGCCAACACATCTATCAAGAATGAATAAACATCATCAAAAACTGAGAAGAGGAGGATAGTGCTCGTGGCCAGTGTTTTCACCACCTCTCGATGTTGCCTTTCCCATCAACCTCCTGGTAGGCTCTACATGGAGAGAAATTTGGGACTTTGTTGGTGATTGTGGCTTATGCCAAATTCCACATCCCTATTTGCTCCTACTTAAGAGGGCCTGGCTGTTCATATCTCTATAGCAACCGCAGGAAAGAGTGTTGATGTCACTGTGGACTGCATGCTGAGGAGTTGGCCACATAGTCATCTGGAAATGTAAGGTCTTGAAAGTCCTATAAATGCCCCAGTGGACTTGTGCTAAACCCTTCATCCACTGACATCATCCAGGTGACTGGTGCCTAAACAGCCCCATTCCACTGTTTCACCTTCATGCTAGGCCTGGGTTAGCTGCTGAAAGTTCAACCGACCACGGCATAACCTACAGATGCTGAGGCTTTTCAGAATGGCTCTGGAAAACAGCCAACTAGTGCAGCGTGAAAACTGACTGGAATAGTTGCAGGAGAGATCTGCTCACAACAGTCACATGGATGTTAAGCCATGCTGTATAGATGTGGAAAATTTTTTTTTCCAATTTTCCATAGAAAAACTATTGGTAGCCACAAAATTCAGTGCTTTGAATGAGACATTTCCTGGATAGAAACTTCAAGATGTATCTCCATCCAGTATCTTTCCTGCAGCATAGGCCTACTGACTGGCTTTGGTTGGGGAAACATCTAGTCACCATCCTAATCATAACCCTTCATCTTTTTTAGGATAGTGATTAAATTACTCATCTCCCCAGGATATTTCAGAGATTATCTCAGCACAGTGCCTGCCACTCCCTGAAGCTAAACTGTGCATAATAACAGTTTGCTATTAATCTATCATCATAGAAGGCAGGAAATTCAGTTAAAGACAGCATGTTCATCTGAGTTGACACATAGTCAAGCCTACACCTTCCACTTACCAATTCTAAGTAGCTACTATTCTTTGGATTTCCATTTCTAAAGGTAGAAGAAGTTATCAGGAAGTGATATGAATGATGCTTAAGTCTGCAAGTTGGGCACTTCATTCATCACAGCAGACCAGAGAGATGTGGGTTATCCCCATTTCACAGGTGAAAAACAAGTTAGATAGTTTATCCATAGTCATCCATCTAGCGAAAGAGAGAGACACTGCTCAATCAAACACCAGAGTTTTTGCTGTCCCACAAATTACATAGCAGATGACTGGTGTTTTGTCAGCATTTCCAAAAGATGTTTTGAAATCGGTGTTGACATCTGGTTACATAAATATGCCTCAAGCTAGGGTTTTTCCTTCATTCTCTAGCATTAGAAGTTTTTGATGTGTCTCAGCATATGTCCTTAGCGTTACAACTTGTTTCCTGTATTCGGCTGTTGACAGTCATGAAAGGGCAATCCACCCAAGGTAATGTAATTATTTTCCCTTGCTAAATGTTAAAGGCATGACCATCTTTACTCATGGTCACTTACTCATAAATGAGAAAGCTCTGTCTCAGCTATTTGAATCACAGTCAATGTGGTGGAGAGGAGTGACATTCAACAGATCCAGGAAGGTGGGTGCAGGAAAACCCTAACATTTGCTGGGCCCTCCAGGCAGATATGACTTTTCTTTCCAGCATGGCATTTCAAACACAAATTCTCAGGCTGTTACCAACCCAGGAAGCACCAGCCACCTGCTCTTGACCTTTATTTTTACTGGTCATGGCCCAGTTACTGGGCTTACCATTTGGGGTACTACAGGAAATCAAATATTTGTGGTCTGTGAGATTGAAGACAATGCTCAGAGGAAAAAAGGAAGAACATTGAGGAAAATAACATTCTCACTTCTTCTAGGTTGAAGTACACTCTCCGGGCATGCATCTCCAAGCCTCCAGTGTGTATTTAGCCTTTCTTGTTAACTTACCCATTGTGATTTGTTCTGATACCTCACATGAGCTCAGTTTGAGGAAGTAAATTTTAACCAAACCATGAAGTGTCATTTAAGACTATTTGTGTGATATATTTTGTGTTATATATGTGTATGTGTATTTGTATCATATATTTTGTGTCCCTGTCAAAGTGAGTAGACCTTGTTAAAAAATAAATTCACATGTAGTCAATATTAACAAGAGAACCTTCTCATTCACTGGGACTAAAATTAAAAGTCAGCAGTGACCAAGAAATGCAGCTAAGGGAGGAATAAAAAGGATCTCAGAGGAAGCCAGGAAAGGGGTGTTTTAAAATATTGTAAACAGTTATTCTATTATTTACAGAATAAAATTAGCCCAATGACACATACTAAGTATGGCCTCAGTTCTTCCACAAGCCAAAGCTACATAGCAAATAACATGTGTGCTCAATTGCAGTAAATTGGGAAGTCTTTCAGTTGTTTTGGAGAACATTACAAGAGGTACTAAATTAACCTGCTTATACTGAATTCTTTACAGTCATCCTGCTTATATGAACTTAAATTAATTTTTTTGGCCTAAGTCTTAACTTTCTGTGAATAAACAGAGCTTCCTGCCAGAAGTTTTAACCACCTCTGTTTCATTGGAACTAAGAGAAGGCAGAGTTTGGTGGTTAGGATTTAAGCTACTAGACCCCCTCCCGGGAAGCCAAGACACTTAACACCCATGTGCTTTAATGCCCCTGCAGCTTAGCTGTGTAGGTTAACACTTGAGGCCCTTAGGGCCACACCTGGCATACTGAGTATTTAATACACTTAAATGGTTTTCATTAGTCATATTTCTGAAACATTTGCAGTATGTGTTCAGCAAAAATAAAAAAACTGGAAAACAAGGCTATTCAAATGTAAGATTATAGTGGAGTTAAGGAAATGAACACTACTCCAGGAAGCTTACTGCTTCTCTAAAAAACTAAAATTTAATGTTTTAACATAAATTTTATCCACCTTTGTATTGCACTAGGTCCATTTGTTGTTGTTGTTGTTGTTGTTGTTTGGTACTGGGGATTAAACTGGGATCCTTGTGCTTGAGAGGCAGGCACCGGAATCTCTAAGCTAAATCCCCGGCCCTACTAGGTCCATTTTTAAATACAAATATTACTCATCTTTCAAAAGACAGCAAGGACAAGTGATTAGTGACTATTTCAAAAACAAACCCTTTATACATTTATTAATTTGTTTATTTTGCTTAGCAAATCAGGGTAATCAGACATTTGTAAATGCTAAGAACCTCTCTCTGATTGGTCATAACTGTTTCTAAGTAGTTTCCTAAACTTAGGTCAGACACAATAAATAACCCATCTGGAGAAAGGCCCAAAAACAGATTTCTAAACAACAGCAAGGAACTTTATTTTGGGCTGAGTCCACAACAAAGAATGTTGCCTCCTTTAGCTATAAAATGAATAAAGAATTTGTTGCTTGGTTTTCCAGTATTTTGTTTCTTTTTTCCCCCCTTGGGACAGGGTCTCACTATGCAGTTCACACTGGCCTTAAACTCAGTGTGTAGCCCTGGCTGGCCTTCAACTCAGGACAGTCCTCCTGCCTAAGCCGCGAGTGCTGGAATTACAGGTGTGTGCCACCACACCTTGGCTAGTATTTTGTGTTTCTTTTTAGCTAACTTGAAATTTATAATAAAACTAGTTTGGGGGACCAAAAGCATTCAGCTTATCTATTCAAGAGGATGAGAGGGATGTAAGTCAGTGGTAGAATGCTTGCCTAGCATGCAGAAGGCCTGAGTTTGATCCCCAGCAACCCCCCAAAGATTGAAAAAGTCATCTCGACGATCACAAAGTTGGCAATTTACTTCCTTTGAAGAATTCCTTTAAACTGTGTGTGTATACCCTATTTGAAAAATACTAGATCCATACAACCTCAAGAACAGATGATGAAGGGGATGATCTTTGCAGAAGCTTTTTTTTTCTATTCAGGGCTAATTCTTCTACAAGTGTGGCAGGGAGCAGAATATACATAATGTTTAGGAAATGCATCAGTTGATTATAGCTATAGCAATGGTTCTTGTTTAGACAGGTTTGCATTGCTCATCTTTTTTAGTCTCCTTGCCTACCAAACAAGGGAGAGAAAGTAAACACTTTTATAACACAACTCCTATAACATTTCCACTGCCCTTTAACTCTGCAAATCCCAATCCACACTTTGACAGACATGATGACAATGTGTAAAGGGTTATCTGAGAAAATGTGAGCTCAACCTTACTTGAAGTTTCAGCTCAATTTGCTATATTCTAAATAGCAAACAGTCTAAAAAATGCAAGTCTTTAAAAAGCAGATTTTTCCTGCTTTATATTTCAAGAAATAACAACCTCCCCACACATTTCATCCACTATTTCAAACCCTTTTTAGAATTCAGTTGTACCAACAAATAAACAGGTTAGTAATGGGGATAGTGGTGAATTTAATGACAATGGTCAGGTCACTTCATTCTTCTCTTCAAGAAATAGTCTTTGAAGGTGGACGTGGTAGCCCATGCCTGTAATCCCAACACTCAAGAAGCTGAGGCAGGATGATCACTGCAAGTCGGAGGCCAGCCTGGGCTACATAGTGAGTTTAAGCCCAGCCTGAACTACAGAGTGAGATCCTACTAAAAAAAAAAAAGTCATTGAGCTCCTACCTTCAACTAAGCCAGGCAATATACTAAGTGCTGGAGTATATCAGAGGTACTTGATTCCAAACAAGGAAGGATTTGATCTATGCTTTGTCTCAATTCTAGCCCACTCTCTGCTCTCTGACTCCTACCTCTTGCCAGACACCACCCCACAGAGAGGTGCAGTAAAGGATGGGAGCCCAGTGCAAGAATGGGACACTCAGTGTCCTAACAGAATCCATGGACCTCAGAACTGGTACTTCTAATCTGCTTCAGTCTCTCCCTCTGGCCTTTTGTTTCTCTCATTGTGTCCCCATTTCCTCTGC